TTTTCCCCCCCCCCCCCCCCAATTTATTAAGGTTTTATGAGCAATGTGTGCAGCTGTTGAATTGTGTTATATATAAGTTTAACGGTAGAAAGAGCATGTTTTTATTTATTTAATTGTATTTTCAACGTACAACAACTTAGCTGTATCATGTGTCCGATATTTCAAAATAATTAACCATACTGAACTATGAGAAATGAATGGAATTAATTTACACTTGAATTGCACTACAGCAGAAAAGGTACACAACATTTTCTTTTACACCCAAGAAGGATCGGAGATTAAATAATTAATTTCATTTACATGTTTAAATTACTTCAACTTTGATATTGCTTAACAGTATATTGCCATAAATAACATTTCATTATAGGCAAATACTGAATTTCGGCATTTGCAAATTGAAGTACTTCTCTAGGGAGTATTAAAGTTCATATACAAATAGAAATTCAACTTCTAAATAATCTTTTTCTACTTCAACTTCAAATATTTGTTTTCAATTTCAACCAACTATTATTTAAAAAAGTTCTGAAACCTTAGAAATAGTTTGCTTGAAGTGATCACGTATATAGGATACGAGTCCATTACTCAAATGGTCACTCAACTATCCGAAATTACCTATTAAAGTCATCTTTCTTTCGTTTATAACAGAAAAGTCACTTAACTATGCTTATAGCACTCGGAAGGTCACTCAACTAGATTTCTCAAACTTTTGATTGTTAAATAACTATTTTACCCTCTAAATTATATATCAAGTTTTGTTATTTTTTTAATTTATATTATGGACTTACCTATAGAAAAAATTAATTTTATTTATAAAGCGAAAAAACAAAAATAGTATTTAAGCATATAAAGTGTTGGAATAAAAAATATTGCGCAAAGTAAACATATTAATTAGAGCAATTTTTTGTAATAATAATTTTGATATTAACAATAAAAACTCAAACAATTAATTACACAATTGAGAATGAAGAAATTAAAAGTTTTCAAAATATATATTTCATGCACATAATATGAAAAATAGAGATATATTTTATGATATACATGATATATTCTTAAAAGTTATGCTCAATTATTTTATTATTCTGGCACTATATATGCTAAAAAATTAATTTTTTTATTTTATAAATAAAATTTATTTATTCTATAGGCAAGTCCATAATGTAAATTAAAAAGAGAAAAAAAATTGTAATATTGAAAAAGTAAAGAAAGAAGAAGACAAAAGTTAATAATTAGGTGGTAAGATAGTTATTTGACAATCAAAATTTTAAGGAACCTAGTTGACTGACCTTTTGAGTGTTGTATGTATAGTTAAATGATTTTTCTGTTACAAACAAAAGAAAGAAGACTTTACTTGATAATTTGTGATATATGAGTAACAATTTAAATAATGAACTCTATAGGATACTAGAGCATGTCCATTTGATAGGATGTGAATGGTAGGGGTGTACATGGATTAGGTTGGTTCGATTTTTATCAAAATCAAACCAAACCAACTATATCGATTTGGATTGGTTCGGTTTTGTCGGATTTTTCGGATTTTTTTGTTACATGAATATTATTTCAATCTTTCTTTGTTAAAGTTGTAGATAAAGTTTTGATAAGTGAGTATATGTTAAGTAAAAATTAAAAAAAAAACGACAAATATATGATCTATTAAAATAACTATCTCCTGGAAACAGCCTCTCTACCCTTCGGGGTAGGGGTAAGGTCTGCGTACATAGTACCCTCCCCAGACCCCACTTGTGGGATTATACTGGGTCGTTGTTGTTGTTGTTGTTGATAGTTATTTTCTTTGTCGTCTAACAATAATTTTTTGTTGACGTATGTTTTCAAGGTTAACAGAATTTAATAATTAAACATAAAAATCAATATGATACCTAAATAATGATATGTCCTATTTAATTTAAATTATTAAAATATCATTTTCAAATTCGAAAAAATATAAGAAATATTGACGTATGAATATGGAAGAACAAAGAGATGATTGACGCATTTCAATAACACTTGATAAGAAAGTGATACACCCTATTATTTAAGGTAAATAAAGATGAATGAACTTCATAGTTCTATTAAATATTACATCCCATGAGAGGAATCTCAAATATTTTGACATTTTAAAAAAAAAATTGTATGAAGTATTAAAAGTATATATAAATTTATATATTTATATGTCGGTTTGATTCGAGTTCTTTTACTCAATACCAAATCAAATCTAGTCGGATTTTTTAATCGGTTTGGTTTGGTTTTTCGGTTTAGTACGGTTTTTCGGTTCGGTTTATATTATTATTCTGTTAATAATATTCCTTCCGTTCCAGTTTATGTGAACCTATTTCCTTTTTGGTCTGTTCCAAAATAAATGACCCCTTTCTAAATTTAGAAACAATTTTGCTTAAACTTACAATTCTACCTTTAATGAGAAGCTTTTATAATTACACACATACTTTGGGCCTCTTTTTAACTTGTTTAGGACCACAAATGAAATAGGTTCACATAAATTGGAACCGAGAGAGTATAAATCAAGATGAAATGTGAAAATGTGAACCAAAATAAACTGTCCTATCAATAAATCAGGTGGACCCTATATGTCAACCTTTGATCTCTGAGAGTCACTGTTCCCTAGAAATTATCACTCGATCCTTTTCCTGATTCTCTTCTTGTCTAAAATATGTCTTACTCGTATTGAAAGATAGTTCACACATCTCGTTGAATCGGTCTTTTTCGCCAAATGGAACCCCCTCTGTTGTTGGCGCGGGCAGATGTCCCAAATCCTTTTTCGGCCCTTAATTTCTTGTTTTATTCTCGAGTGGATATTTATTAATGTTTAAGAATTGATTAGTTTCCAAACTCTCCGTCGGCAATGTATATTAATATTTCAAATTTCCAAGAGGAACAAATCATTTGGCTAAAAGGGCAGTCCGGTGCACTAAGCTCCCGCTATACGCGGGGTTCGGGAAAGGGCTGGATCACAAGGGTCTATCGTACGCGATTTTACCCTACATTTCTGCAAGAGGCTGTTTTCACGGTTCGAACTCGTAACATCCTAGGCACATAACATCAACTTTACCGGTTACGCCATTTGACTCTCATAATGAAATTTTCCAAAGGAGATCTTCTGTTTCTATTTTATGTCTTTTATTTTCTTTTATTATCTATTTATATTGATTGATGAAAGACCTACCATGCCCTTACTAGAATGTCTTTTTAATCTGAAAAAGTTTCATTAGTTTTATTTAATATATGGAATTCAATACAAGCTCTTTCGTGGTTAGCTCAATTCTCTTGTCCATCGAACCAATAAATTAGAATCATCTCATGGAAGGAAAAACCAAATTGGTCAATAAAGTGAGATCCAGAGAGTTAAGTAAATTTGAACTTACCCTAAAAATAATTGGTAATTTCTTCTTATCTGTATAAGTTTTGGTGGAAAATGTTATCTTGTACATACATATGCTCGTGAGAAATAGCAGTATGAAATAGTCGAAGTGTGTGCAAGTTCGTGGTGGATGCCAACATTATAATTATTTTGTGGTTTCTTTGTTATATAGTAACTGGATGGATGGGTTGTCGCTGCTAGCTTAACAAACTTCTTGCATTGTCTCTTTGTATTCTTCTACCAACTAGAAGAGACTCGATTCTAACATGTTGTTAAATGTATGTATAAACCATATTAGGCAAGTTGCGACGACAAAAAAATAATAGAAATTTCCTCTAAATTTCTAAAACTGTTTGCAACCTTAAAAGTAGGGGAACTCCAATTCTGAAAAGTCAGCAACAGTGTAAGCTTCGATTTGAAGAATTATTCACTCGTCTTTGGCTGATCGTAAGTCATAATCTGGCAGTGAAGCTTTTCAAATTAGCATAATAATTGTTAAAACTTTGATATGTCCCTTCTGTTTGCTTGTCCTAAATCTAAATTGTCTACTAGTGAGATTTCTCTACTTAAAACGTCCAAATTCATCAAAATGGTTGTAATGTTTCAAAAATCAAGTCCCTTATTTGATAATTACAGGTAAATATTATGCTAAACATTAATTGATAATTTGGTAAAAATGATAACCAACATGCTATCACATGTTAAAATTCATTGAGATTGTAAATTTATTTTTTAAACATTGTTGGTGTATTTTACTTAAAAAGTGGATAATCTGAATTTGGGAAGTTGGAAAAAGAGGAAAAAACATATAATGAGTTAATGACCCTCTTAAAAGAAAGGAAGGAATGTTGAATTCACGAATTAGAATGCATTCCAACACTCAAGTCAGTAATATTCAGGTTTTTCTTTGCTTTCCTTTTATCATGCAAATGTTCATTTGTACACTGCGCAAGACTGTCCAGGGCATCTTTGGCTTCTGCTTGGTCAATTTAGACAGTATTGTCAATTATTACCGTTCTTCGAAAGTAATAATACTCTAGTACATATTCTGTGTAACTTGCGATGGATTGCCAATCAACATTTATGCCATAGAGGTCAGAGGGGATTGATATCCCTACAGGAAGTGCACATGCTAAGAGGCCGATTCTAGAGTAGCGACTCTGAGCTCTGTTGTATCTTGATATGAGATAATGAAATAATGGAGGTGTGCACAAGCTGACTCGAACACTACCGTCTACCGTCGTTAAAAAAAAAAGTGAGGCAACTTGTTCTCGAGCCTCGACCTCCAGCTATGCTTGAACTCTACTCTTCCTTCCTCTAAGATACTTTGGCCAAATTGAATTAGGTCATCCAAGTTCGCACACCAACAGTAGGCAACAACTGCCATTTGGTATTACACTTACTTTCTGAAGATGAGCCCTTCCAGCTGAAGCAAATTAAATTTGAATGACAACAGAATAATACCAATGATGCCGATTATTATTTTCTGCCAGACGCCAAAACTTTCAACCCGAAAAAAAAAGGGGGGGGGGGGGGGGGGGTGGTTCTAATAGTCTGCTACAATGAAGTATGTGGCAGTTGGCACAATGGTTATAGGTATTAAGATGAAGAGACATGTTCAAATCCCATTGAAGTATGATCTTATGTCCAACTCATAGGCGGATGATCTCTTTACTAGGGTGTATCAGAGAGAGTAGGTTCTCCCTACTTGACGTAGTCATGTAACTATTGTAAATATACTCCTATCTCATGGCAAAAGAACAAATGAAGAATATATGTCCCGTATTTGTTTTTACTTCAAAGCATAGCTTCATCTGATGTCAAAGGAATAATATCAGTACCAATTGACTAAAATCTGGAGTAACAGAACCGTTCCAAAAGCAGGTACTCACCATTTAACATCTTTGCTAGGCCCCTGAAAAGCCAAGAAAAATGAGAAGTAATAAGAATCACAGATTTAAACTTCAAGATTCAGAATCGTTAGTGATGGGAAGTGTCAGTTAGTTCGAAGGAATATGAATCAGAGGAAAGGAATTGACAAGAAAAGTAATTCAAGATGGATATATTATGTTTTGATAGTTTGCATTTGTTCTCTTCCTTTCGTCTTGACAATAGACTCCTAAAACTTCTGCTGCTTCTAATTACTAAGAAAATCTTTACACCTAAATCCTAATCCCACACTCTTTGAATAGTATATGACCTTGAGCTGCACCAATGGGTAAAGCACCGGAAATCATAAGCTTTCTTCCGTACTGGAACCAAATGGTGTCTCCTCGTGTTGAGAATTTTGAAGTTGAATATCAGGTACCACCTCGACATCCTTGTCAGGCTTAAGAAGATTACAAAAAGAACCACGATAGGCTTATAAAGGAAACAAAAAAACTCTGCGATAGGAACCAAATGAATTCACCAGTACACTCGAGTGAGGAACTTACCTGCCATAGTTGCAAGAGACGCCAGAGCAAAAAATCTACTATCATAACTATGCAAAATATTTTCCCTGCCCAAGTGCCACATGTGAGGTACCTAGCAAAAGGTTGCCAGGAAAATTAACCTGGAAATTTAATCAACTGGAAGAGACATTTATTCATGTGAAAATTATTAAATTGTTACAGATCTGACTCAAGTTGGACAATCATTGCTCAGTAAATGGTTAAGAGGACAACCCGAAATGAATATTCAACTGCCTAAAGGCCTACAAGTTGATTATTGAATCTACTCCCCACAGTCCGAGGACAGCAGAGGACCAAACAGTCATTTCAATTGCCTGATGGCCTACAAGTTGACATATAAACTTAGTGTACTCTTTTATGCGCAGTCTAGAACATCAAAAGGAGGAAAAAGAATCCAGAAAACTTTATGCTGCAACTCAATTATCTGATCTTACTTGAACACACAAATTAGGCCCTCAAAAAACCTCAAAACCAACAGTTTTCTGCTCAAGTAATTATTCATTTAAGATTCTATACAATAATGACAAGAGGGTCTTTCACTACCAAAAGAGAAATAGCATATAATTATTTGATTTTTATCCATTCTCAACTTATTTCTCTAGGGTGATAGCATGCGTTGACAAACAATTATTTACCTTCAGTGTAGTGGCATACCTTGATAATCGATCTAGCAAAGGTGGATTGGAGCATTTCAAAGCACGGTTGTAAACAATTTCTGTCCTCCTGGCTACATCAGGCCAACTGTAAAGCTTTTTCATCTAGCAGTAGAATTGATTGTCAGAAAATAATATGATCGCATACCTTTCAGATATAACAAACTCATAGAAACACTATCGCATTATAGTTTAAAACTGTACTTCAAACCAATTCCCTGCAATTTTTCAATCGCAATGCCATACAGTGAAATCACAAACAAATCGTGCCTTTCAACAATTAAATTTTTTGAAAGGTTAAGTATTATTGTTCACAATTTCAGCACAAAGAAGGTGCTCACAATGAGAGGTGAGCAAAAAACAAAATACATATCCCTCTACTATTCTTGGAGGGACTCTATGAGAAAATACCAACTACTATGCACTTTTCATATTATCCTGGCATTACTGCTAGAGAAACCTTGAAATGGATCTAGTGTACTGCAAAATTCAGCAACTCCTGTCATCTCCCAGTCATTTAAGTTTCTCCTAAATGTTAACCTCCAAGCTTCATTAAATCTGCAGTCAGCTGAGGTGCATTTTGGGCACTGTGCCAATGTAAACAGGCCTGGAAACTGATCTTGCAAAGGGCCATAGATCAAATTGTCATGCCAAAAGAAAGTCTTTCTACCATCTCCAACACAGATGCATGTGTTCTCTAAAGATTCAGGCAAAGAGATTGTTTAATCCTCAACTTTCCATTCTTTCTCAGACGTCCTATGTGTTTGGTCACCCTCTTTTCCTTCCCACAAAAGAAGAGCACGTTGTTATTTAAGCTTCTAGATATTTGGAATTGATGCTGCAGATGTCATGTCTCATCCCCTCTCCTTTTCTCTTAAACTTCTTAGCCATGCCTATTAAGTTTAACAGACTTGAAACTGCTGACTAAAATATTCTTGTGCACCATCGCTACAACTCCACAAACTGGATTCCTCTTCTTGAGAGTTGCATATAAATCTCATAAACTGTCCTGCATAGATTTTGCAGCTCGCCATTGACACAACATGAACCTTTCTTTGCAACAGATTCAACTCCCTCTATTCCTTTTTATATGCACTCTTTCCTTTTTATTCTGCTAAAAAAGAATAACACCTTTATATATATATATTTTTAATAAGAACGTAAAGTAAGATACAACACCTTTATATATTTGGAAAGTCTTTAACCTTAAACTTTCTCATTTTACACTTAACGACATGTTTTTATAGCCACTGAAATTCATGGTATGCTTTAGACCACAAGTTCTAAAGATGCTTTTGGCATGTGGTAAAAGTTTTTCTTTCTTTCTTAAACTCTATGCCCAGTCAAACACCACTATATAAAATGAAATGGAGGGAGTAATTACAAGGAATACATCTTAGATATTTACTAAGCATGAAAAGTTTCATCAAAGAAGCAGAAGATGAAGAACCTCTGTAAAACCAATAAAACAAACTACTGTCCCAATCAACTAATCAAGCACCATTTCTTCCTTCTTTTTTTTTTTTNTTCCTTCAGATATCACCCAAGAGGCTAAGATTACAAGACTATTGTTACATCTTAAGAGAGCAGATACCAAACTGCCCTTGCTACCTTGCCCCAAAAGGAAAAACGAAGAAAAGGATAAGCAAAAGGCAATGTGATACTAACACGATTGTGCATATCTTGTGGATCAATCCGGGGAAGCATATGTATAGCCCTTGTGATTGCGTGCACCATAGTCGTAGGATCTGGCGCAGCCAGAACAACCATATCATCTGGAAGCACCTGACAGAGAAGTAAAAAAAAAATATGATAAAATAGAAGAACGAACAATTAACAAAGTAGAAGCAAGGAGATATAAACTAGTCAAGCAAAGAAAAATGAATCATGGACATGCCTCGGGAACACCTCCGACACGTGTACTGACTGTTAATAATCCGCAACTTGCAGCTTCCAATATAGCTATGCAAAATGCTTCTGTTAAAGAACTGGCACCAGTAATGCAAGAAACAGGAGCATAAATGTCGGATTAGAAATGGGGAAGGCGGAAACTGACTGTTGGTCAACCACAAACCAAACATATTTAAATATGCTTCAGATGTTATTCTTTTGCTTTCGGAGAAGAATGAATGGTGGAACAGGGAGTATTTGTCAGCAGTTATATATTACAACGCCGTGAGCAGCAGAAGCTCAATACGAACCTATCTTGTCTACTAGACCGCGTTTGGCCTTAACCAACGAGGTAGCGTAACACTTCAATATTTTCATTTTCTTTTTGATGATTCTGGAAGGATAGATTGAAACCAATGAATCTGATTTAGCTTGTCATCTGAGACAAGTTTTAAATGGCCACATAGTGTTCATGGTTTTCATACTTCAGTCTCAAATTTGCTATCAAATATAAAACTAATCAACAATGTGAAAAAAATAAATAAATAACACTTGAAGGTCGCGTACCTGTTCAAAAATATATGGCCAGTTATTAGTACAGACCGTACTTTAGCATGAGGGACAGCACCCAACATATCAACTCGGTCTTGAAGAGAGTGTTTTTCTCTCATTTCTTCCAAACGCACTCGTTTGGGTCCATCTCCTCCAACAATGAACCGAACCTTAGCAAATGCAGCCAAATGAGTTGCCAAAAGTTCAGAATGCACAAACAAGGTCAAAATCCATAGACTAGTTTTTTTAACGGATCCCATGATGATGATGGAGAACACTTACATTGGGATGCAAACGGCATACTTCAGGGATAACTTCAACAAGTAAATCCGCTCCTTTCCTATAAACTAACCTACTTAACACAACTATAACAATTTCATCCCTGTTGAGTCGCTCAGGAGCAGGCTTAAACATGGCCGTGTCCACAGCATTTGGAATAACATAAACCTTTTCAGGGCGCAAACCAGACCTTAAAACTGTATTCTCTTTGCTTGTATGAGAAACACAAATAGCCTGAGTCACATCGGCGAGCGTAAATTGTAGTACCTTATTCATGTGAATGCTTCCAACATCCGCGAAACCATAGAGAGAATGATCAGTAAATACAACTTTGTAACCCATGGTGCGAGCGTGCATTAGAGCTTCGTGACATAAGGTTGAGAAGGCTTGATGTCCATGTACCAGCGATATGTTTTCCCTAATCAGAATTGTCCTAGTAATTGGAAGTGTCCCAAAGAAGGTTGGCAATGTGTTTTGCATGAGAAATGGCTTCCACGGGACATAATAAACTTTCAGGCCATTTGTCATATATCTTACACCAGAACGATTCTGATAAGCATGAGTCATAACTACCACCTGAAATTTACACAAAAGAACAACAAAAAGAATGAATTCATAAAAAGTATCTCATTATGACAAAGTTAATCTCTTACTGAATTCATAAAAAGTATCTCATTATGACAAAATTAATCTCTTGCTAATAATATTCAATCAAGAGCAATTTAAGAGAGGGGACGGTGCTTACTGACCTTGTGGCCTTCCTTAATCAAGCATTGTGATAGATAGTATATGTGATTCTCCACTCCACCAAAATTGGGGTAGAAAAAATCAGAGACCATTAAGATTCTATGCTTTCCCGGTTCACCCATGACAGCAGACCACTACAGACACTCCTGCATCAGAGGCAACCATTCACACAACAATGAAAGAACAAGGGAAAATACATAAGTGACACCTACGAAAAAGCCAGTTTTAAACTCAGACTTTACGTGCGACCTCTCACCCGTTCATTCTTGTTCAATGTGGAACTATTACCCCCCTGTTGGACCCAAAACCAGCCATAAGCTGGGAAGTGAAATACACACTCCAGGTCAGTCTCCAAGTAAGAAAACTTTCAAAAAGAAATTCATAAAATTTCCTCAGGAATTGGGTAAGCGGGCTCTGGGTAAGCAGGCTCCTTTCACTTGACTGGTTAGCTAGAAGTGATCTTTTTTCGCACATATCCGCTCTTTTTCTCTTTCAATACTCCATCTTCTTCCTCATTCCCAACCTGCCTCTCCCTCTCCTTTCAAAAAAAAAAAAGACTTCTACATTGCAAATAAAGAAAGGTGGCTCTGCACCATTCCAAACCAAAACCTTGAACTGCACATATTTTTTCACCATTCCAAACCAACACCTCAAGCTGCACTATATATTTTTTTCTCACCCTTGGGTCTGCACCATTCCAATTCAAACCTCCATTAGAAAATTGTCGCAGCTGTAATGTGCAAAGCTTCCAGCTCTAGGTAATCTCTAAGAACATCCAGAATCAATTTCAAGCCCACATTTTCCGTCATTACTTTCTTTCCATCGAAATTGAGAAAAACTCCCAAAATAACCCCATTGTGAAATTGGGCAATGCAGAAATTGAGATAACTATATAAATAAGAGAAATAGAAATTGCGAAGCGGAAGGGAGATACCAGATGTAAAATAATAGGGCATTGTGAGGTATTGGATCAACGTTTAGGAAGGGAATTGGTAATCGAGAAAGAAATGAAGTCGGAAAGTGAAGAATAACCTGATCAGAGAAATCGCAGGAGAGAAGAGTTGAGAGGTTGCGATTCAGGACCATGGTGGTGAACCGGTGGTGAGCCGGCTGAATGCGTACGGGTCAAATAGGTGCTGCGTTATAGACTATGGATCTGTCTCAGAACTTCCATTTCTTTGGTGAGGTTTTCAACTCACTTTATTCAGTTTTAAGTTCAATTCTATTTAACAGTTACCCAAAGTGATTACTGGCCTTTTGAGTCATATTATCTATTTACCAGGACACTTTCACTGCCTTAAACTCGAAGTATATAAATCTACATTAAAAAAAAATACTAAGAAACTTTAGATGTATTTATACAAAATGTGCACATATACTATAGATGAACGATGAATACAGTTATAATTTGCAGCTATTAACTTAAAATGTTGATTCAATTCTAGTTGCATTCTAAAATCATGAATCATGTATTATACGATAATACAATGTATTGTTGATTTTTTACAATCTATGAACCTGAAAGACAACATAAATGTGCAAAGCTAGGGTAAAGTAATTTAATAATTGTGGAGTAGAAATAGGGTTCTTACAATTCCACAATGCTTTGCTGCTCAGTAAGGTGAATTGTTCTATATAGTGCTGCACTTGAAGTCTTCGAGCCATAGATAGGTCGAATTTTCGATTCCTTTTTGCGCTAGATTTGGGTTGTATCTACCGTGAATTGACATTTGAATCTGGATTTCTTCACAGAAGCTCTAAACCGATGAATTTCACCACAAAGGAAGCTCCGACCCGTTTTTGTGCCCCGTTTCCATTTCCCTATGATCTCACGTGAAAATAGGGGGGTTCCTTCCATTTGAATAGTTTTTTCTAAACCAAGTAAGTCGGTTTTTCAAATATTAGAACCAAGCCAAATCAATTAAGTCGTTTTTTTCTCGATTCGATTTAAATCATTTTTTTGGTTTTTCCGGTTATTTGTCTTTTTTTTCTTAAATATAAGACATACACTACAAAACACATATTTCGGCGACCATATTTTCAACGTAACACTATCAAATCAATTGCCCTTTGAGAAATCTATTATTTACCAAGATATATTGATGATAATTGAATCAAATAGTGATGAATAATTAAGGACTCAATTAAAAATATATTATTTTTAACATGAAATAGATTCTTACACTTAACAAAAGAAAACTACCAATTAAACTAGAATGTAAAGGTAAAGAACTGTACTAAAAGTGCAAACGATTAATATTTACTATAAAAATTTTAAAACTTTGTATAAAAATATGCATATATATAGGTGTAATAATAAATTTAAAATAGCTACTCCTATATTCGGTTTGGTTCGGGTTTTTTTAATTAAAACCAAAACCAAACCAAATTTGATTGGTTTTTAAATTTCAAAACCAAAACCAAACCAAACCAAAAAGTATCGGTTTTTTTGCTCGATTTGGTTTGGTTTTCGGTTTGGTTCAAGTTTTCCGATTTTTATGAACACTCCTACCTAAAAGTTACATTGTTATTATAAAGAGTAATTCAGATGTCAATTCTATCCATTTTTCAGTCTTTTAGCTACTTACTAGTTTCTCTACACGTACGTATTACATTATTTTTATATAATATATATATATNCGTAGTGTAACCTTATGATCTTTTATGATTAAAGTCAAAATTATTCTCCTCGAACATATATATATCACATATACTAAATAAGAATGCATATATATATTTAAAATATTTGATTTAATTGTAAATTACAAAGTTAAATGCACCAAAAGCTAGTGTAGTGTAACCTTATGATCTTTTATGATTAAAGTCAAAATTATTCTCCTCGACCAACTCTATCTCTAATTTCTATTCTTCTAGCTAGGCATCATGGTATCACTTATACTTCGATATATCTCGCCTTTTAAAATCGATTGCTCCAATAGACGATTTTAAATTTGTTGGATTTGAAATTATTCGATTTCTTATTCTTCAATAAACTCTTATTAGAGACTGATATCTTTCTCGGGTGACTAAACTTGTAAGGATATTTCCTTCTCTTTTCATTTAATTAATTGAGACTCGGATAATAAAGGCAATATAAATTCAACAATGAAATATTTATAAGTTGCTAAATAAAAATAAAATGGTACTTAGATAAGATGAAAGTGTAGACAATAAATTTGCGTCAAAAAAATAAAATCAATATCGAAAAATATCGCAACAATCGTAGTATTTTATTTCGAATATTTGAGGGTTACAATCTCTATGAATCCTCTGATTCTTCTTTTCAATAGCAAATAAATTCAAGGGCCTTTGAGCTTGATCTTGAATTTATATTTGTTTCCACGAACGATGATCTTGTTCTTGAGCTTGAGCTTGAGCTTGATTGCTTGAACTTGATCTTGATTCGTTCTTCGTTCTTGAGCTTGAACTTGATTGCTTGAAGCTTGAAACTTATAGAGAAATTTATGGCGTTTGATCCACGAGCTCTTTCTTGCTTCTTATTATAACTTCTGGTCTTTTTTCTGAGTTATGAAGACCCCTATTTATAGTTGTGGAAGGGAACAGTTATGATAAAAAACAAACTCTTTCCGACCAATCAAATTGAAGTGTGACATGACCGCATTTGATTGGCCAAAACATGTCACTTGCACACGTGGCGCGATTTCATTGGCCTTTTAGCGTGACTTGGCATGCCTTGTCATTTTGACACGTGGCATGATCCTATTGGCTCTTCCGCTTGACTTGGCGCGTCACGTCATTTGACACGTGACACCAAACTAGGCCTCTAGGAAGATGTCATCTTGGGCTTAATGAAGTGGGCTCATCACTTTAGCCCAATTAAATGGACTAGCCTAATGGATTAAGACTTATTTATTTAATCCATATATATTGGACTTATATAATTAATTCAATTATAGTAGCCCATATATTTATTTGGACTAATATATCTTGAATATAAAATATAGTCCAAATTATTTTATGGATTTAATTTTAATAAAATTTACATGCCTACAAATGCCCCCTACTTCAAGACTTGTCAGGTATAAGCTTTAAGACTAGGCTTGAAGTATTATGGAGCAACATCTTTTTCTCTTTATTTTCACATAAAACGAAATACCAAAGTTCCAAATTTCAATCACGTTGAACAGTGTAGTTGCCCTCTAACATTCCATTTTGCCTTTTGGTAAAATAAACCTCTATTTTAATTGAAAATCATTATTGTCTTATCTGTAGTATTAGTGCAGTACATGTATCCAAATTTCTTTAGGATTGAGACAATGAATATTAAATGAACACTACACTTTGATTCCATCTCCAACACTACTTATTTCGGCAAGTACATGTATTCGAATCTCTTTAGGATTGAAACAATGAGACATTTTGAAGACTCACTTTGACTCCATCTCCAACACTAATTATTTCGGCCGCCTAAGCAATTCCAAATCTCTTTTGGTAATTGATTTCAGGTGATCCCACACCGAGACCTCACCTCCCAACCAGCTACATTGAAGATCTATATAAACCCCATGCCCATGTATTTATTAAGCATCAAATTGTAGCATCCACAAGCTGCCTTGGCTACGCGTTTTCACTAGTAGGAGGCAATCCCAAGGTAATTTTTCTTCTGTGTATTTTCCATCGTTTTTTTCCTTCTTCTTTTTTGTAGGTCAAATAAGAGGGATGTGTTCTTGTTAAACGAGATAAACCACGTATGAAGAAGACAATTTTGGGGTGTGAGGTGATGAATACTCATCTTTGCCCGAATATCGAAGATATTACTCTCAATGTGCCCCGACTATCGGAGAGATTTACTCACAATATGGCCCAACTATCGGAGAGATTACTCTCAATGTGCCCTGACTATCGGAGAGATTACTCTCAATATGGCCTACTATCGGAGAGATTACTCTCAATGTGCCCCAACTATCGGAGAGATTACTCTCAGTGTGCCTCGACTATCGGAGAGATTACTTTCAATATGGCACGACTATCGGAGAGATTACTCTCAAAATGACCCGACTATCAGAGAGATTACTCTCAAGGCGGCCCGACTATCGGAGAGATTACTCTCAAAATGATCCGACTATCGGAGAGGCCAACTTAAGGTGCAAAGGGACTCATATGTCCACCTTAAGATTGGAAAGTTATAGTTCTTTTTTAAGGACAAACCCACAAAGAGGCCGACTTAAGGTGCAAAGGGACTTATATGTCCACCTTAAGATTGGAAAGTTATAAAGCTTCAACTCGAAGACTTCATGGACTTGATGACGTCGACTTGAACACTTGGAAAACTTTGAAGATTCAGCGGACTTTGCAGACTTCAACCTGAAGATCGACACCTAAAGATTCGGCGGACTTTGATGTTTCAATATGAAATATTTGAGGGCTCAAATACTTCCACTTGAAGACCGACGAGTTTGAGGACCTCCACTTAAAGACTTCAGCTTGGAGACCTAGAGGGCTTAGATATCTCAACTTGAAGGGTGGCGAACGTGAAGACTTCCACTTGAAGATTTCAACTTGGAGACTTTGAGGGCTTGAATGTTTCAGCTTATCTTTTGCTTTACATTGTCTGACTTTTATCTTAGTCGCATAATTTCAGCTTTAAGCGCTTGAAATAAAAGATTCATATTTTGTCGTGGGAGAGTCTAAATAATGAACCATTTAATTTCTCAAAAATTAGACTTCAATATCTAAAATATATCCAAAATTTAGAATCAAACACCTTCAGAATCACCGTAGATAGTATTTTGAAACCAACTTTAGATTCCACCACGTTGAAAATTTTAGATTTGCGCAGCCTCACCAAACAAATCATATCTTGGTGTAGAAATATCGAAATTGCAATTCATTTATTGAAAACTAGACTTCAAAATCTAGAATATATTCAAAATTCTCAATCAAAAAACTTCAGAATTGTCCCAAATAATATTTTGAAATCAACTTTATATTGCAACATGCTATCAATTCTAGATTTGCGCAGTCTTTCCAAAAAATTCATATCTCGGTGTAGAGACGTCGAAATTATGAACCGTTTTATTTCTTGAAAACTAGACTTCAAGATATAGAACATATACAAAATTCTTAAACAAACAACTTCATAATTGTCCCAGATAATATTTTGAAATCAACTTTATATTGCACCACGCTATCTTGGTGTAGGAATGTCGAAATTATGAACCGTTTGATTTTTTGAAAACTATACTTCAAGATATAGAACATATCCAGAATTGTCAATCAAACAACTTCAGAATTGTCCCAGATAATATTTTGAAATCAACTTTATATTGCACCATGCTATCAATTCCAGATTTGCGCAGTCTCACAAAAAAAAATCATATCTTGGTATGGAAGCCTCGAGATCGGAAGATGTCTTACTTGCCATCAATCAAAATTTAAGAACTATATTCTCACAAATCCCTAGACTTCAATGCAAATACTTAACATCCTCCTAAAATCGGCCCATTGAAGATTTCAATTTACCATGGAGGGTTGCCCCATTTAAATCAAATGAGATCAAAGTTCAACAGGAGGATGACGTTTCAACTTGATTTTATATTCCTTCATACTTTATTCGAACAACAATTAGGGCAATATGTATCTTTTGAACTTATGCGACTGAACTTATAATGAAACTCTAAGCTGCCTACTTACCTCGGCGAAGAGGATCAAGTCATACCGTAGTTCAGATGGGTGATTTTTTTTATATGTCCTAACTTTTTCCCAGGCCCCTCTTTCAAAGTTTTCAACCTAGCAGACTCTTTTTTTTTAATTTTTACGTCCTAACTTTTGCCTAGGCCGCCTCTTTCGAGATTTTCAACCTAG